CGCAGGCAGGAGCAGGGGAGGCACGCAGCAGCGGCAAAGGCAGCAAACAGCAACAAGGGCAGTCCACGCTGCAGCAACACCAGCCGCTGCTGCTGCTGCCGCTGCTGCTGCCGCCGCTGCTGCTGCTGCTGCTGCTGCTGCTGCTGCCTGAGGTGTCTAGACAGCGTGGGTGCCTTCTTCTTTTCTTTTAATTATTTTAATTCTATTTGCTGCTCTGCTTAGCTGCTTCTTAATTCGCACTGCATGCGCTGCTGTTGCTTCTGCTGGCAGCTCCAGCACTCCGCGGCGGTGCAGCGACGCCAGGTGGTCTGCTGCTGCAGCAGCAGCGCCTTGAACCTGCAGCAGCAGCAGCAGCAGCAGCAGCAGCAGCAGCAGCAGCAGATGGGCCTCATACGCAACTGCTGCTGCTGTGGGGTGGCCGCATAGCCCAGCAAAGAAGCACTCTGCGTTGAACAGCGCAGAGCAGCAGCAGCAGCAGCAACAGCAGCAAGTGCAGCAGCAGCAAGTGCAGCAGCAGCAAGTGCAGCAGCAGCAACTGCAGCAGCAGCAGCAGCACCTTAGTTGTCCTTAAGCAGCCCGTCGTTTCCTCCGGCAGCAGCGGCACTACAGGAGACCCCACAAAGCGTTTCTGCAGAAAAGAGCAGCAGCAAAAAACACACAAACCCTAAACCCTAAACCCTAAACCCTAAACCCTAAACCCTAGACCCTAAACCCTAAGGCCACTGGGGAGAACTAGGGGATAGGGTTTTGAGGGTCACAGAGCTGCCTTGCGAAGTGTGTGAAGCATACGCAGATGCACAAATAAGGGTTTAGGGTTTAGGGTAGGGTTTAGGGTTTAGGGTAGGGTTTAGGGTTTAGGGTTTTGCCTCACGCGGCCCATTTTGAAGGAGACAATCCCTTTCCTTGCTGCTGCTTCTTTTGCTTTTTCGCCCGCTAGCCTGCACCACACCTCTTAACCCAAAACCCTAAACCCTAAACCCTAGACCCTAAACCCTAAACCCTAAACCCTAAATCCTAAACCCTTATGCTTGTCAAAACCCTAGAACGCACGGGACGCAGCTGATCTGTAGATACATCTCTGGCAGCAGCAGCAGCAGCAGCAGCAGCGGCAGCAGCAGCAGCAGCAGCAGCAGCAACAGACTAACCTCTTGGCGCTTCTATCAGCCTGCTGCTGCTGCTGCTGCTGCAGCTCCTGCAGCAGCTGCGGCAGCTGGTCAATAGACTTCCTGAGGGCTTTCTGCTGCTGCTTAGCAGCAGCCTGAGCAGCAAAATGAAAAGGGTTTGCCTCCGCGCTAGGGTTTAGGGCTAGAGCTAGGGTTTAGGGTTTACAACTAGGGCTAGGGTTTAGGGTTTGCAGCTAGAACTAGGGTTTAGGGTTTGGAAACAGAGTTGGGGGTTATAAGCAGTAGCGAGGGCTTGCAGGCAGGGTTTGGCGGCCTAGGGTTTAGGGCTAGCTAGGGTTTAGGGTTTAGAGCCCGCTAGGGTTTAGGGTTTAGAGCTACCAAGGGTTTAGGGTTTAGAGCTTGCTAGGGAATCAGCTAGGGTTTGAGGTTTAGAGCTAGGGTTTACTGGCTAGGGTTTAAGACTAGAGCTGGCTAGGGTTTAGGGTTTAGAGGCAGCTAGGGATTAGAAACAGCTAGGGTTTAGAGACATCAAAAGTCTGCAAATAGCTAGGGTTTAGGGTTTAGGGTTTAGGGTTTAGGGTTTAGAAGCCTACCCGGCGCAGCTGCTTCAGGTGCCGGCGCTGCCGATTTCTGTCCGTGCGCGTCTTCTTCTTCGGCTCTGCAGGCCATAAACCCTAAACCCTAAACCCTAAACCCTAAACCCTAAACCCTAAACCCTTGATTATAACATTCCAGGCCCTGCAGTCTGACCCCTGGGGCCGCAGCAAGAAACTAAGCCCCAATACGTAAGCCCTGAACCTCAAACCCTAAACCCTAAACCCTAAACCCTAAACCCTAATGAGGCAGCAAGCGCGCACTCTTGTAAACCCTTGCCGGCGCAGACTCGTCTTCTTCTGCTTCCTCCTCTGCTGCTGCTGCTGCTGCTGCTGCTGCTGCTGCACTACTTGTAGAGACTTTGCCTTGCGTCACCAGCTCCATCAGCATCTGCACAGCAGCAGCAGCAGCAGCAGCAGCAGCAGCAGCAGCAGCAGCAGCAGGAATAATGAGAACTGAATTTAAAGCTGAAATGAAAGCAGCAAAAAGGAAGCAGCTGTCTGTACACCTCACGCGCTGTCTGTCCAGCTCAGTGCTGCCTTCAAGAGCAGCAGCGCCGAGTTGCTGCTGCAGCGCAGCAGCAACAGGTTTTCTGTATTTGAGGAGTTTGTGGGGGTTTTGCTGCTGCAGCAGCAGCAGCTGCTGCTGCTGCAGCAGCAGCTGCTGCTGCTGCTTGTCCTGCTCGTGGCTCCGGACCACCGCGTGCGCAGAACGCCCCTCCTGCTGCTGCAGCACAGCAGCAGCAGCAGCAGCAACTAGCTGCTGCTGCTGCACTTCTTTCGAAGGATTGTAAGAAGAACTTTCTTCAGGCAGCAGCAGCGGCGGCACCAGCTGCAGCAGCTCCCTCAGGCGGCAGCGCCGCCGCTTGCTGCTGCTGCTGCTGCTGCTGCTGCTGCTGCTGCTGCTCGCTGCTGCTGCTTCTGCTGCTGCGGGCGTTGCTGCTGCTGCTGCTGCTGTTGCTGCTGCTGCTTTGCGCTTCTCTGGACGCAAAGCAAGCAAAAAGCAAGCAGCAAACCTCCCGCTCTCTCCACCCACCAACAATCCAAACCCTAAACCCTAAACCCTAAACCCTAAACCCTAAACCCTAAACCCTAAACCCTACTGACTGTTGACTACCGCCTCCAGTGCCTCGTCTTCCCACAAGTCGACGCATGCTTCCGCTGCCTTTTTAGCCTGTGCCCCCACACAAACCCTAAACCCTAAACCCTAAACCCTAAACCCTAAACCCTAGGCTCTGCTAACCCTCTGTGGCCTCCCGGGAGCTTTGAGGACCTAGGGTTTAGGGTTTAGGGTTTAGGGTTTACTTTGATTCTTGCTGCTGTTTCTGCTCTCTTTTTGCTGCCTTTTATGACTCTCTCTAGCTGCTTCTTGTGGGCCTGCGTCGCCACTTCCAGCAGCGGCTTCTTGCTGCTGCTGCTGCTGCTGCTGCTGCTGCTGCTGCTGCTGCTGCTGCTGCTGCCTTCGGCTAAGAGCTGCGGCCGCTGCAGCAAACGCCGCGCCCCCCGCGAAAGGTGTGATGTGTCATCGGCGCCTGAGCAGCAGCAGCAGCAGCAGCAGCAACAGCAGCAGCAGCAGCAGCAGCAGCAGCAATCAAGTTGCTTCCCACAGCAAAGGGTTTGGCGGTAGCTTGGCTGTGGCTCATCTGCTGGTTGAGGGTTTAGGGTTTAGGGTTTAGGGTTTACAGAATGGGCGAGAAAGCCACTTTCCTAGACTCCAGAGTCTCGGGTTTGCTGCTCGAGACTTAGGGTTTAGGGTTTAGGGTTTAGGGCCAAGCCCAGGCTCTAGGGTTTAGGTTTCAGGGGTAAGCCTAGGGTTTAGGGTTTAGGGGTAACCCTAGGGTTTAGGGTTTAGGACTATCCCGAGGGTTTAGGGTTTAGGGTTTAGTTGCTGCTGCTCCCAGGCGCAGCAGCCGGTGCGCCGGCTGCGCCGGAAGGAGCCCGCAAAGCCCTTAGAGTTTAGGGTTTAGGGTTTAGGGTTTAGGGTTTAGGGTTTAGGGTTTACCTTCGGTGTCGAGGACAAAGAGCTCGTCTGCTGCTGCTAACTGCTGCGCCTTTTCTCTTAAGGGTTTTTCATCTAAGAATTTTTCTGCTGCAGTCAGTTGGCCCTTTTTCCACTTCGAGCGCCGGCTGGCCCCCATTCTCAAACCCTAAACCCTAAACCCTAAACCCTAAACCCTAAACCCTAAACCCTAAACCCTAAACCCTAAACCCGCAAACCCTAAACCCTAAACCCTAAACCCTAAACCCTAAACCCTAAACCCTAAACCCTAAGCTGACCACTGCACTAGGCAAGGTCTGGGAGAGGTCGCGAGGTGCGAAACCCTGAAACCGCGAGAATAGGTTGAAGGGCTCCAGCCGAAGCTCGAAACCCTAAACCCTAAACCCTAAACCCTAAACCCTAAAAACACTAAAGCCTCGCCGCCAAACCCTTAATTAGGGTTTAAACTGCCAAATAAAAGAGTTTTTGTTATTTCAAGAGTTAATTAAGGGTTTTATTTTCTCTGCATGCAGTGGGGGGCCCCTGTGGGGCGGAAGGCTCAGGGCCCCACTGCCGCTCCCGTAAACCCTAAACCCTAAACCCTAAACCCTAAACCCTAAACCGCCGCTTGCTGCTGCACGAAACCCCTGCAGCAAACAAAGAAAACTGATGAAATTTAAACAAAAAACAGAAGCCACTTCATAACTGCAGCAGCAATTGCTGCTGCTGCTGCTGCTGCTGCTGCTGCTGCAGGTTGTTGCTGCCAGCAGCAGCTGCTGCGCATCTCCGTCTGCCGGAGGTCCATTGGTCCACCGCTGCCAGCTGCAACCCTAAACCCTAAACCCTAAACCCTAAACCCTAAACCCTAAACCCTAGCCCTTCAAGGCTATGAGGGCCCCTCAGCTAGGTAGCTGGCCCTGAGCAGCAAACCAGTGCGCAGCAAACCACCACCCTAAACCCTAAACCCTAAATAAACCCTAAACCCTACAACACCCTAAACCCTAAACAAACCCTAAACCCTAAAAGTCAAACCCTAAACCCTAAAAGGTAAACCCTAAAAGCTAGAGCGCAGAAAAGACACGACAGCACGGCGACGCGCAGCAGCAGCAGCAGCAGCGGCAGCAGCAGCCACTTGGTGTTGCTGCTGCTGCTGCTGCAACTGCTGCTGCTGCAGCAGCAGCTTCTCCCTCAACTTCAAATTTAAAGCCAAAACAAAATCTTCCTTCTCAAGGGCCCCAGCTAGCCAGCAGCTAGCTAGCAGCTAGCTAGTAGCTAACTGCTAGCTAGCTGCTAGCTAGCTAGCTGCTGGCCAGCTAGCTACTAGCTAGCTAGCTGCTAGCTAGCTAGCTGCCCAGCTAGAAGCTCAGCTAGCTGCTGGCTAGCTGCAGCAGCAAGCAAGTTCGGGACGGCCCAGATCCCTGTAGTCCCTGAGTTGGCTAGCTAGCTGGCTAGCTAGCTAGCTAGCTAGCTGGGCATTGCTAGCAGCGAATTCGCTAGCTCGCCAGCTAGTTGCTGAGTGCCCGCACTCTGCTGGCTAGCTAGCTAGTTGGCTAGCTAGCCAGCTGTCCAGCATGTTGGCTAGCTAGCCAGCTAGCCAGCATGTTGGCTAGCTAGCTGGCTAGCTAGCTAGCTAGCCAACTCACTAGCTAGCTGGCTAGCTAGCTTCATTGGTCCGTTAGCTAGCTCGCTAGCTAGCTGGCAAAAGAGCTAGCGGTCAAGCTAGCCAGCCAGCTAGCCACCCAGCTAGCTAGCTAGCTAGCCAAAGGCCAGCTAGCCACCCAGCTAGCTACCCAGCCAGCCAGCTAGCTAGCTAGCTAGCCATCCAGCTAGCCATCCAGCCAGCCAGCTTGCCAGCTAGCCAGCTAGCCAGCTAGCCATCCAGCCAGCCGGCTAGCTACCCAACCAGCTACCCAGCCAGCCAGCTACCCAGCCAGCTACCCAGCCGGCCAGCTAGCTAGCTACCCAGCTAGCCAGCCAGCTAGCTACCCAGCTAGCTAGCCAGCTAGCTACCCAGCTAGCTAGCCAGCTAGCTAGCTAGCTAGCTAGCTAGCTAGCTAGCTGTGGGGGATTCTGAGGAGGAGTTCGTCTCGGGGGCCGGCGAGGCGGACGTGGCGAAGGCCGCCGCGGAGGCAAAAAGCGACGAAGGCAGCATCTGCTGTTAGCTGCTGCAGCCGCGGGAACTGCAGCACGAGCTGCAGCGGCACGGCCTGCTGCTGCTGCTGCTGCTGCTGCTGCTGCTGCTGCTGCTGCTGCTGCTGCTGCTGCTGCTGCGCTGCTGCTGCTGGGAAGGGCTGCGCCTGCTCCCGCAGGTAGCTGTCCCGCTCCCAGTTGCTGGGGGAAAAGTACCAGTCAACTTGCCGCCGCACTGCAGCACGCAGCAGCAGCAGCTGCTGCTGCAGCAGCCGCTTTGCTGCAGCAGCAAGTTCTGCTGGCAGCAGCTCTTCGCAGGCAGCCAGCGGCAGCGCCTCAGCAGCAGCAGCGCCTGCTGCAGCCGCAGCTGCTGCTGCTGCTGCGGCCTCCCGCGCGTCCCCTGCAGCTCCCCCTTGCTGCTGCTGCCCCTGCTGCTGCTGCTGCTGCTGCTGCTGCTGCAGCACAGCGGCGCTCCACTGCTGCTGGTGCTGCTGCTGCTGCAGCCAAACTTCGCTCCCCGGCAGCTGCATAGTACCCAGGGGCCCCGTAGTCAGCAGCAGCTGCTGCTGGGGGCCCCCCTTGCCATCTATGTGCAGCAGCAGGCGACTGCCCCCCTGTGCTGTTTGCTTCGGTTGCTGCTGCTCCTGCTGCTGCCTTCGCAGACTCTGCTGCTGCTGCTGCTGCAGCGGAGCTGCTGCTGCTCTGCTTCTCGCCAGCCTTGGCACCGGCAAAGCCATTTGCTGCTGCTGCTGTTGCTGCCTCCCCTGCTGCTGCTGCCTCTCCTGCTGCAGGGCTTCTTTGTCCTGCGGAAGCAGCCGAATTGCTGTGAGTTCTGCCCAGTCTCTCCACCGGCGCTGCTGCTGCTGCTGCTGCCTCTCCCTGCCCCCCCTTGGTCCCCGTGCTGCTGCTGCTGCTGCTGCTGCTGCTGCTGCTGGCTGCAGCAGCAAACGGCTGCGCTGCAGATCCACCTGCAGCACGCGGAAGATTTGCTGCTGCGACAGCTGCGGCACCCCCTGCTGCAGCAGCAGCAGCTGCGCCTGCAGCCATTTGCCCTCGAGAGCAGCAGCAAGGGGCCCCTCCCACTCGCAGAATTCTGCTGCTGCTGGCACCGCTGCTGCTGCTGCTGCTGCTGCTGCTGCTGCTGCTGCTGTTTCTTTTCCTTCTGCTGCTGCTGCGGCTGCTGGCTTCGCTGCTGCTGCTGCTGCAGTGCCACACTCAGAGGCTGCTTTCCTGCTGCTGCCTGAGTGTTCCTGTTGCTGCCGGTGCTGCTGCTGTTGCTGCTGCCGCTCTTGTTGCTGCTGCTGCCTCTGCTGTTGCTGCTGCTGCTGCTGCTGCTGCTGCTGCTTCTGTTGCTGGAGGCGCTGCAGAGGCAAAGGAAGAGGCCCCGGCCCCAGGCGCTGCTGCTGTCGCTCGTTTTGCTGCCGCTGCTGCTGCTGCTGCTTCTGCTGCTTCTGCTGCTTCTGCTGCTGCGGCTGCCAGATGTTCCGCGTGAGCTGCTCCGAGTCGCTGCTGCTGCTGCTGCTGTCGCTGCTGCTGCTGCTGCTGCTGCCTAAGATGACATGGCCAGGGCGCACCTGGCGCCTCGTATTAAAGCTCTTCTTTTCTGCTGCTGCTGCTGCTGCTGCTGCTGCTGCTGCTGCTGCTGCTGGTTTGCTTCCCGCTGCCTTCGCTGGTCCCCGGAGAGGCTGGGGAGGGGCCTCGTCATCGCTGCTGCTGCTGTCATCGCTGCTGCTGCTGTCATCGCTGCTGCTGCTGCTGCTGCTGCTGCGAGCTGCCTGGCTACGGGCAGCAGCAGCCTTCTTGGGAACCACGCCGCTGGCAGCACCCGATGCTGCTGCTGCTGCTGCTGCTGCTGCTGCTGCTGCTGCTGCTGCTGGTTTTTGTCTCTTTGAGGAACTCCCAGCCTCAGATCCAGGGCGTTTGCTGCTTGCCACGGCTTCTTGCTGCTGCTGCTGCTGCTGCTGCTGCTGCTGCTGCTGCTGGCTGTTGAGGCGGTGCATGCAGGCAGTGACAACATCGCCGTCGCGCAGCACTGCAAGGGGCTGTTCATTCAGCAGCATGAAGCCCTGCAGCCTTAGCTGCAGCAGGTTGCTGCTGCTGCTGCTGCTGCTGCAGCAGCTGCTGCTGCTGCTGCTGCTGCTGTTGTGGGCAGCGGGGGGCTCGCAGCAAAACGCGCCACGCTGCAGCAGCCGCAACAGCTGCTGCTTCAGCTGGCCTATCGTTTGCTGCTGCTGCTCGTCTACATAGATGCAGCTATCAGTTGCTGCTGCTGCTGCTGCTGAGAAGGGGCGACAGCCCGTGCCGCAGCAGCAGATGCTGCTGTCGGCAACACCTTGCTGCTGCTGCCGTTGCTGCTGCTGCTGCGCCTCGGCAGCTGCAGCAGTGGCGCTGCGGCCGCCGCAGCAAAACTTCACGAAAAGCCTCATTAGGATCTTTGCTGCTTCTTTTTTCCCAATGCTGCTGCTCGCCGCTGCTGCTGCAGCTGCTCGTGCTGCTGCTGCTGCTGCTGCTGCTGCTGCAGCACAGTCGGCAGTTGATAGTGGCCTCTTCCGGGCCTTCCCTGATATTAACTTGAAAATATTAATAGTTTTGCAGCATTAAAGCCGCAAGCAAGAGGACTGCAGCAGCAGCAGCAGCAGCAGCAGCTGCTGCTGCTGCTGCTGCTGCTGCTCAGCCCACAGCAGGACTGGGGCCCCAGCTGCTGAGACAGCGAGTCGGCAGCAGCTTTTTCGGATTCAGCAAAAACTTAATTAAATTAAAACCCTTCTTCGTAAGCATTCTTTCTCAAACCCTAAACCCTAAACCCTAATCCGTTAACCCTAAACCCTGGAGGCTGCGTCTACAGACTCTTGTCCCTGCTGCTGCAGCAACACAGACTCACAGCCACCATGCCAGAGCAGCAGCAGCAGCAGCAGCAGCAGCAGCAGCAGCAGTGGCTGCCTCTAGAAGGTACCCCTGAAGTCTTGGGCCCCTACCTGGTTGCTCTGGGGGGCCCCCAGGCCCCTTCTGCTGAGTCAGGGGCCCCCCAGGGGGGCCCCCAGGGGGGCCCCCAGGGGGGCCCCCAGGGGGGCCCCCAGGGGGGCCCCCAGGGGGGCCCCCTGCTGCAGGTGGAGGACTTGGTGGCCCTGGAGCCGTGGGCCCTGGACATGCTGGAGTGTACAGACACCGTGGCTTTGCTGCTGCTGTTTCCCTTGAGCGAAAGTGCTGCAGCAGAAGAGGAGCAGCTGCTGCAGCAGCTGCAGCAGCAGCAGCAGCAGCACGAGCAGCAGATGCAGCAGGAGCTCTGGTTCGTCAAACAGGTAAACCCTAAACCCTGAACCCTAAACCCTAGCCGCCAGCTCACTAGCCCGCCGCTTTGTCTCCCAAACCCCAAGCTCTAAACCCCAAACCCTAAACCCTAAACCCTAAACCCTAAACCCTAAACCCTTTTTCTCCGCTTCTTTTTGCCTTCGCACCCCCGCGCGATGAAGCCCACACCTACGCGCATCTCCTTTAATGCATTTTAATTAATTAATTTATTTATTTATTATTTATTTATTTATTTATTTATTTATTTATTTATTTATTTATTTATTTATTTATTTATTTATTTATTTATTTATTTGTTCAGACGGTGCCAAATGCATGCGCCACTGTAGCGCTGCTGCACTGCACAGCCAATTTGCCCCGCAGCAAATTTCCCCTGCCCGAGGAGGGGCTTCTTCACAAGTTCTTCCGTAAACCCTAAACCCTAAACCCTAAACCCTAAACCCTAAACCCTAAACCCTAGCGCTAAACCCTAGCGCCTCGGCGCCAGGCGGTTGGCGGCGGCCGGCGGCGAAGGCGCCACCCACGGGCATTTAGAGACGCAGGAAAAAATAGGGTTTAGGGTTTAGGGTTTAGGGTTTAGGGTTTAGGGTTTGGGGTTGCTGCTGAGGGTTCAGGGTTTAGCTTTGAAGCGCATTTCATCTTTCCGTCAGCCACCCCACCCAAAAGACCAGCCGTAGGGGCTAGGGTTTAGGGTTTAGGGTTTGGGATTTAGGGTTTAGGGTTTAGGGTTTAGGGTTTAGGGTTTAGGGTTTAGGGTTTAGGGTTTGCGCGCAGAGGACACGTGGCCGTTGGACGCTGGGGGGCGGGGGCGGGCGCTGGAGAGCCACGAGGGTTTGGCGCTGCTGCACTTGCTGCAGCAGCAGCAGGGAGCAACAGCAGCAGCAGCAGCAGCAGACACAAACCTCCACTTCACTTGTTTGCTGCCTTTTAAGGGTTTTGTGGTTGAGCTCGACGGCCGCAAACCCAAACCCTTGCTGCGCGCCCAAATCGCCCCGGGGCAGTCTTTTGCCCAGGCACGAACCCCAAACCCTAAACCCTAAACCCTAAACCCTAAACCCTAAACCCTAAACCCTACGGGCCGCCTGCGGCGGCCTGCAGTGGCTGTGCGTGGGCCAGAAACGCTCTGTCAGCCACGCGCGCTGCTGCTGTTGCTTCTACTGCTGCTGCTGCTGCTGCTGCTGCTGCCGCTGCTGCTGCTGCTGCTGCTGCTGCTGCTGCTGCTGCTGCTGCAGGCTGCTATTGAGGCTATAAAGGAGCAGTTTGTGAAGCCCAGAGGAGAAGAATTGCAGTTTGCAGTTCTCGCAATTGGAGACACTCGGTCGCGCCGCGCTTAGCTGCTGCGGTGTACATACACCTCAGCAGCTGAGGTGTATGTACACCGCAGCAGCTGCGGTGTACATACACCGCAGCAGCGGCAGAATTGAGGTGTACGTACACCCCAGTTTTCCTCTTTTTTCCTTTTCCAATTAACCCCGCATCAACTGAGCTGAGGTGTACGTACACCTCATTTTTCATTTCTTTCTCCTTTCCATTTAAATGCCGCAGCTGAGGTGTACGTACACCAGAACTGAGGTGTACGTACACCCCGATTCTCTTGAACTTCCACTTCCGAAGTTTTCTTTCGGCCAGTTTTCTGAGTCTTCGAAATGCCAAAAAGAGAGTTTTTAATCACAATAATAAAACTTTGTCTTTATTTAAATAACGAAATTATTTAAATGCTTTTTTAATAATTATTTAAATGCTTTTTTAATAATACGAAAGCTTAGTACTAATAAGCCACTCTCCAGTAAAATAATAATTAATATTTATGCCACTATTACTAAATGCATATAAATGGCATTCTCAATAAATGCTGACTAAACAAAAATAATAAAAGAATGCAATTCAAAAGTAATAATAAAAAACGTTTAGTGGAAAATAATAAGACAGAATTACTGAAGAAAAAGTAATAAAAAAGCATTTAAGGAAAAGTGTCATTAAAAGCATTTAATTAAAATGAAAAGTGTTTGGTCTTCGAAATATTAAAAGTGAAAAATAAATTTTAAAAAATGCATGCAAAACACCTGAACAAGACATCCAGGTGTACGTACACCGCAGACTTTCGCTGCAAAGACTCAAAAACAAAAACAGAAAAAAAGAAATAAATGCATTTAAAGTCAAGACGCGTTGCATGCAATGAATTGGAAATGAATTGGAAATGAATTAAAATGAATTTAATTCATTTAATTCAAATTTTCCGAAAAAATAATTTTTGAAAACGCCAGCGATGAGCTGTGGGGCCCCAGGTGTACGTACACCTCAGCACCAGCAGCCCAACCCAATTTTAATTTAAATTTTTTCCAAAAAATTTAAATTAAAAATTTCCAACTTTTCCATTTAATGCATTTCTTTCTGTTTGCCCTCTTTAACTACGCACTCTAAACCCTAAACCCTAAACCCTAAACCCTAAACTCATCCATCCAGAAGCAGCTCTGAATTTTACACAGAAAAAAGATAAATTAATAAAAAGGCAAACAAAGAAACAGGCAAAGAAAAAGGAGAAAATGAAACAAAAAAGACAAATGAATAAACAAAATGACAAAAAGAAATAAAAAAAAGAAAATAAACAAACCCCAAGTCTTTCCCTTGAAAGCATTTAGGGTTTGGCGCTGAGGGTTTGTTCGGAATACAGAGAAGCAAGCAAAACCAATCAGCTCAGCAGCAGCAGCAGCAGCAGCAGCAGCAGCTGCTGCAGCAGCAGCTGCAGCAGCTAGTCATTCGCAGCAAATACAGCAGCAGCGAGTGCAGCCAACTGCAGCAGCAGCAAATGCAGCTGGCTGGCTCGGCAGCCCCCACCAAACCCCTGTGGGGCCCCACAGTCACAGGGGCCCCTGTGGGGCCCCCGTGGGGCCCCTGTGGGGCCCCTGTGGGGCCCCCGTGGGGCCCCTGTGGGGCCCCTGTGGGGCCCCTGTGGGGCCCCTGAGGGGCCCCTGAGGGGCCCCTGAGGGGCCCCTGTGGGGCCCCTGTGGGGCCCCCATGGGGGCCCCTTACGGCGCTCTTGGGGGCCCCTGAAGGGCCCCTATGGGGCTCCTATGAGACGCCCCGTGGGGCCCCTGAAGGGCCCCCTGCGGGGCCCCCGTGGGGCCCTCCGTGGGCCCCCTTAGGGCCCCCTTGGGGCCCCTTTTGGGCCCCCCCTGGGGCCCCTTTGGGGCCTCTTTTGGGCCCTCTTGGGGCCCACGGGGGCCCCTTGGGGGCCCCCGTGGGGCCCCTGTGGGAGCCCGCAAGCCTCTATGAGGGGTGTGGGGCCCCACAGCGTGTGGGGCCCCACATATGAATTAAAAGGAGATTAAATGAATTAAAATAATAAAATTAAATAAATAAAACGGAAAAGAATAAAAAATAATTAAATAAATTAATAAAATGGAAGCAAAGAAATCACTGCATGAGCAGCAGCTGCCGCAGAGCTGCCACCGCAGCGTCTATACACCCTACGGGCACACACGCAAGCAGCAGGGCAGACCATCAGCAGCAGCAGCAGCAGCAGCAGCAGCAACAGCAGCAGCAACAGCAGCAGCAGCAGCAGCAGCAGCAAATGTAGCTGCAGCAGCAGCAGCAAGTGCAGCAGCGGCAGCAACAGCAGCAGCAGAAGCAGTGGCAGGAGCAAAAGCAAGAGCACAAGCAGCCGCAAGAGCAGCAGCAGCAGCAGCAACGGCAGCAGCAGCAACAGCAGCAGCAACAGCAGCACACGAACCCGCTTTGCGCAGAGGGTACTCGCAGGGCCTCACGTGGAACAGCAGCAGCAGCCGCTGCAGTTCTTGGCTGTCTGTACACTGAACGTCGTGCTGCAGCAGCAGCAGCAGCAGCAGCAGCAGCAGGAAAGCAGCATCAGCAGCACGAGCAGCAGCAGCAGCTGCAGCAACGCCGCGTGCCCCGCCACAGCCAAAAGACCTCGTGCGGTGGCTGCGAGTAAAGACTCGGGTTTAGGGTTTAGGGTTTAGGGTTTAGGGTTTAGGGTTTAGGGTTTAGACGAACCATTATGGTCAGCAGGCGCTGCTGCAGCGCCACTTGGCGGGCAAAAGCAGCAGCAATAGGCTCCATCAAACCGGCTGCAGCAGCAGCAGCAGAAGCAGCAGCAGCAGCAGCAGGAACAAATTAGCAGCACAGGCAGCAGAAGCCGCAGTACCCGCAGCAGCAGCAGCAGCAAGCAGACGCTTCATGCGGCGCTCCTGCTGCTGCTGCTTTTGCTGTTGTTGCTGCTGGCTTTACTGCTGCTGGCCTTGTTGCTGCTGCTGCTGCTGCTGCTGCTGCTTAGTTACACTCACCTATGTCAGCCATCACAGCTGCTTCGTTAGGATCTGCTGCTGCTGCTGCTGCTGCTGCTGTTGCTGCAGGTTCAGAACCAGCAGCTACGGAAGCAGCAGCAGCAGTAACAGTGCTGCCTGCTGCTGCTGCTGCTGCTGCTGCTGCTGCTGCTGCTCTACAAGCCTGCGTCGCCTTCTGCATCTCAGCAACTGTTTCTTCCTGAGCCCAGCAGCAGACACAATGGCAAATCTGCTGCTGCTGCTGCTGCTGTTGCTTTTGCTGCTGTTGCTGCTGCTGTTGCTGCTGCTGCTGCTGCTGCTGCTGCTAGAGTTGCCGTTGTGGGAGTGCTGTTGTTACTGATGATGGTATTGCTTTTGCTGTTGTTCTAGTGCAGCAGCAGCTGCTGCTGCTGTTGCTGTTGCTTCTGCTGAAGCTGCTGCTGCTGTTGCTGCTGCTGCTGTTGCTGCTGCTGCTTCTATTGCGGCTGCTTTTGCTCGTGCTTTTGCTGCTGCTGCTGCTGCTGCTGCTGCTGCTGCTGCTTCGGAATATCCGCACCAGCTCACTATGCAGACACTCCAGGCGAGCTTGCTGCTGCAGCAGACGCGAGTTGTAAGAGGCCAAGCAGCGCGCCTGCAACTGTAGCAGCAGCAGCAGCAGCAGCAGCAGCAGCAGCAGCAGCAGCGCAGCAAACACAGCCACAGCGCAACCCTGCAGTATGAGCGCCAGCAGCAGCAGCAGCAGATGCTGCATCCTCTGCTTGGGGGGCAGCAGCAGAAGAGAGCGCCTCTTGACCCACTGCAAGGAACTGCCGCTGCTGCTGCTGTTGCTGCTGTTGCTGCTGCCGCTGCTGCTGCTGCTGCTGCTGCTGCTTACCTGCGGGTCAAGAAGCAGCGTCCTCAGATGGTCTCCTTCCAAGTACCTGAGGTGTACAGACACTCCGACCGCAGCAGCAGCAGCACTTGCTGCAGCAAAGCAGCCACAGCAGCACATCAGCAGCAGCACAGCAGCAGCGGCAGTACAGCACAGCAGCAGCGGCAGTACAGCAGCAGCAGCAGCAGAGCAGCAGCACAGCAGCAGCAGCAGCACAGCAGCAGCAGCAGTACAGCAGCAGCACAGCAGCAGCAGCAGCACAGCAGCAGCGGCAGTACAGCAGCAGCACAGCAGCAGCGGCAGTACAGCAGCAGCACAGCAGCAGCAGCAGCAGCAGCAGCAGCAGCAGCAGAGCAGCAGCAGCAGCAGAGCAGCAGCAGCAGGGTCACCTTCTGTCCCCAATGGAGGCGATAAGACTTTGAATTATTTCATTTGCTGTTTGCTGCTGCTTCTCATATGTCAGCAGCCGCCGCAGCAGCACGCGCAGCTGGGCCTGTGGCCCTGCAGCCCGAGAAACCCTCATTTAGGGTTTAGGGTTTAGGGTTTGGAGGCGAGGCGCGCGGGAGAAGGCAGCCACAGGCGCAACCATGCTTGTGCTCAATAGCAGCAGCAGCAGCAGCAGCAGCAGCAGCAGAAGCAGCAAGAGCAGTTGGAGCTGCTGCTGCAGCAGCAGCAGCAGGAAAGGCTGGATGGGCTATTTGAAACGTTGCTGCTG